TGACAAAGTTCACTCGCTTCTAAATACACACAGACGACCCTTTCCGATATGTATAACAAAAATTTCCTGGCTAAATTTCAGCTGCAATTTTCCGGCTAGTTTTCGAGTTGGTATAATGTCAACTGTGAATTTTGACGTGGCCGTATGCTGAATATAAGCGTGCGTGATAGCTGAGAAAATCTTTAGCTCATATAAACACAGAGAATATCCTTGCAAACTTTCAGCATTCTATCTTGTCTGGCTCAAGAAATCGTTTCCAGCCAAAAAAAACTTGTGTTTTTTTCGGGTGTCCGTATGCGACGTCTAGGCGCGTATGAGCAAAAATTTTAAAACGTGAAGGTGCCACATGTGGCGAGAATACTACCCCAAAATTTCAGCCCTCCAGCTTTGCTTGTTGCTGAATTGAAAGTGGATGACAAAATTCACTCGCTCCCTACCACACACACATACACACACACACAGACATGGAGAATCTCGTGTCAATATGCTTTTTTGGACACTGTACAGGCGCTATAGTGCTGCACAACAAAAATGCATAATGATTAAAATTAGTTAAAGTAAACCAGTTAACCAGTTCAAACGCAGAGGTACCTGCAAGCCGATCAGAAGTATTCCAATCCATTTCCTGCTTTTACTCTCATAAGTCTTGAACAGAATTGTTGCAATGGCTCGCTCAATGGCTATAGTCACCGTTGAAAATGTAATAAGAATTGCGCCAGTTTGATAAATTCGTTGTAATTCTAAATTAGAAGCAGTGTTTTTTGAAAGTTTAAACTGCAGTAGCCATGCAATAGAGGAATGTTTAGAGGCGGATTGACTTGCACGTTGCCTTCGCAATGAAGTACAGAATCGTGGTAGCTCGAGAATAAAAATTCAGCGAAATCAGTCTCTCAACAATACATTTTCAGCTGAAGCTATCGCCACCGATTTTTTCTCAGTCCCAATAAACTCATTTTCGCACATGTTGACTTTTGTTCACGCAAGTGCTTATGCATGTAGGTATTTTCAAAAACTACCAACCTCTGCAGTGCTCCATGGAAAAAGTGAGTCTGTGGCAGCGAAGACGCTGATCGCTGAGCGCTATGGACGCTAAGATGTAGCCAGATAGTCGGATCAATCCTGTAATTATATTACCAACTTTAAATTTTCTTGTTAGTATTTGAAATTCAAATTTTTTCTACTGTTTTTCATGTTTTGTTTTTTTTTCTCGACCAGCACCTCCAGCACTTTGATGATTTCTAGCTTTAATGGACTGAAATGTTCCAGAAATTTAAATTCGCGTGTTTTCGTGCCTCAGCATTCCCTGCTCGATGAGAAAACTTGTCATCCAACATTGAACAAATGCCACCATACAAATTACTTCTAAATGGCCCCTACCACTCGTAGAGAGTAAGTACGAAGTAAATTTTGACTTTTTCGCATATAAATTAAAAACGCACCAATGTTAGTAACCGCATAACTGGCGCAGTAGGCAATTAACAATAATCGAGCATTGAAATGCAGCATTTTGGCGAGATAAATAATCACAGCTGTGAGGATGACCACTACTGCGCCCAGAAAAGCAATAACCAGTTCCAAGACGTACAAATTTCGTACCAGTGACGATTCCACATAAATTTCTTCAACAGCTCTACAGAGTATCCCATTAGCAGGGACGCTGTTTGTCATTATTTGCAGCTAGTAGACTAAACTCAGTGCAGATATCAAATCCATAAAATCTGCAGTGAAAAAATATTCCCTGGAACAAATTTTTATCAGGGCTTTGTGTATGTTGCAGATGCATTCGTTAGTACCAGTGAACTGCGATCCTCTTCCCCTAGCACTGATATTACTCACTACTGGATGTTGTTGCAGAATAAAGACCTACTGCATTTCGTTTCCAATAAGACAAAATCACTTGTAGATGATTAAAGCGACAATATATTAACTGCTCGTGCCCAGTCATTTGCAAATTTTCCGACGGGTTCTTTTCCCCGGGAATTATTCATTGTTAAGCTCACCGCAAAGCAGTCCTCGGAAAATTCGATTCAAATTGCATACTTTGATGACAGGCATTCATAATGCGTTTTTGTATAAATGCAAATGCAACCCAGGCTGGAAAGCACCAGGCGAGCCGGTGCGATCATGCGTTTTTGCATCAAAACTTTGAGGTACTCCATCAAATTTC